AAAAAAAAAAAAAAAAAAAAAAGAACTGGGTTTCAGCCAATCATAAGCAGCTTTGGCCAATCATGGGCAGCCACCCAATCAGACAATGCCCAAATAAAGCAAAGGCCTAGCTGTAGCCAATCAGGTGATTTCTCTGCTTTGCTTCTGTGTCTGGACCATAAAAGCCTCCTGCTCACACTGCTGGGTGGAGCTCTCTATACCTCTTCTGGGTTTGAGTGCTGCTCGATTCATGAATTCTTCTTTGTTCAAATCAACTCTGTTAAATTTAATTTGTCTAAAGTTTTTCTGTTAACACTCCAAACTGGTGTAATATAATATAAATGAGGTAAGCTAATAATGCATTAATTCCCCATTCATTCATTCAACAAATATTTACCAGAGCATCTATTATGTGCAAGATGCTGAACAAAACTGATGATGATAATCACAATGACGATGGCTCCTGCTTACTGACTGCTCTCTAGGTCTCAGGCACTGTGCTACGTGATTACATACTGTATCTCATGTGATTGTTTCAATGGCCCTGTGGGTTACGCATTATTACTCTTTTACAGATGAGAAATCTGGTTCAGAGAACCCCAACCAGGGCTTCTGTGGATAAGCAGATATGCAGAGACACAGAAGAACCAAATAAGACACAAAGAATCCCACAGGTCATGTAGCTACCTCACATGGGGGGTGGATCTAATCCAATGGTCCTTAACCAGAGGTGATTTTGTCTCCCAGGAGGCATTTGCCAATGTCTAGACACAATTTTGATTGTCACAACTGGGAGCAGGTGCTGTTAAGATGTTGTGGGTAGAGGACAGGAATGTTTCTAAATGTCCTACAATGCACAGAACTGTCCCCCATAACAAGGAAGTATCCAGCCCAAAGTGTCAATAGTGCCAAGTTTGAGGTGGCAACTCACATGGCAATTAATCATTTAATGTCTGGCCTCTACTCGCCAGCCCTACCTCCACTGGGCTGTGAAGTCACGGAGGGCAGGAGCTCTGCTACAGTCATTTCTGTACCCAGCACTCAGGCTCAAGCTCAGAGAAGTCTCCCTTGTTTAAAGTCTTTGAGGCTCCCTTTGGTCCAGGTGAACTGTCATCACCTGTTCCCTGCCAACCTCTGGCATCCTTGTATTCTCTACTGCAGCCAGAATGAACTTCAACCCCAGGCTTTCCTCCACCCCACCTTTGCAGCTGCTGTTCCCACTGCCTGGAGCACACTCTGCCTTCCCACATCCCATAGGCTCAGCCGAGGTCCACCGTAGATATGATCTCCTCTGAGAAGCCTTCCCTGTCACTCCTCTCAAGCTCAAGGCCAGGCCAAGTCCTCACATTCAGGCTCTCTTCAATGCCTTCCTCCTCCCCTCCAAGCTCTTCCCACACTCAGCACCCAGAGCCCCATCAATCCTGCACCTGACTGTGGGCTCCAGAGCAGCAGTGGCTACGTCCCTCTTACTCTCCATGCCTAATGCAGTGCCTGGCATGCAGTAGGCGCTCAACAAGTGTTTGTTTGCCAAATGTCCAGCCAGCCCCTACACAATCTGTCCCCTTTGGAGGTGGGAATTCAACCCTTTCCCGAAAGCCCAGAAAGAGGTAAAAGAATCCACCTACCAGGCCCTTAAAGAAGCCCCCGAGGGACTGCCGCCGCTTCTCGGGTCTCTTCTGAGTCTTGTCCCCGTTCTGCAGTGAGTTGCCATGCACCATGGCCTGCTCACCGCACTGGGCTGGGTCTTTGGCGTCCTGCCTGTTGCTCTTCTGCTTGTTCACCTCAGCTGCTGGCTTCTTGTTCTTTGAGGCACCATCTTTGCCCTTCTGGGCTGCTCCTGCCAGTTCCGGCTCTGGTGGCGTGATGGCCTTCTCTGTGGAGTCCGATGGCTACAGCAATTTCAAACACAGTGCACTTTTAGTGGCTGCAAGACAATGCTCAACAGCAGGTGAATATATATGTTAAAACAGAGATGTTCAAATGTTAAATGGTATCTACATTTTCATGAGTCCTGGGTGAAATGAAAAAAAAAAAAAATTGTAATGTGTAAACACTTATCGTGGTGCAAGGTCGTGGTAGGAGATATTTCCTTATTTACCTATAATCCACTAACTAATTTTATGCTTTCCCAGCAAGCTTTCTTTCCCCCTGCTTCTGGCACAAGAACCTGGATTTTCCCTGGGAAACCATCCTCTACCCCGTCTACTACTCCACGTGGTCTAGGGCATGGGACTCAGGCCTGGCCAGTCAGAGCATGGCATGTGATTGGGCTGCTGTGGTTGGTTCAGGATAGCCAAACACAGATAAAAACTGAGCTAATCTCAGAGCTTTGATAAAATAATCAAGAGAGAGGCCTGCTCCCCTTCCCTTGGATTTGAACCTATAAAGATGGAAGACTAAAAGACAGAAGACTGGTGCTTCCAGAACCACCACCATTTCCAGAGAAAATGTGCTTGAAAAAGAAGCCAACACAGAGAAAGGCAGAGCTGAGAGATGGAGAGAGAGAGAGGCACGAGGAACTGATGATATCGTGCATGCCTCCTGGATCTAGCTGCCCCTGCAGCCCTTTTATTCATCTGGCTTTGAGAGGGTTTCTGCCACTTGCAACCACATCTGAGTTTTTGGGGGGTGCCCATTCTTGTCTTCACGATGGCATCTATCTTAATTTTTGGTGTGAAACTATCCTTTCATTTCATGAAATGGTGATCAAAGAAGATGTTTGTTTTACTTTTAGTTTTGAATGTACATCCTTCTACGCCAAAATGGAAGGTTTACAATCCTGCTTGGTTCCTACAATTTGGAGAGATGAAGCTATAAAATCCAAAATTCTGGAAAATGCTGGATAAATTACAGATAACAAAAAAGTCTGTTAGGAAGTAGAAACTCCTTTCTCATAATTTACTTGACTGAAATGTCAGATAGAAGATGTAAAGACAAAAAAGGTTAGGAGTAAGAATAATCATATGGAGACCCTATTTCTCCAGCTGTGAAAGCAACATAGGTCCAAAGAAATACTTCTCCAGAGTAAGAAAAACACCAGCTGGAGCAATGCTGCCTTCGATGTTGGGGAGACAATATGGAGTATGGGGGACTGTGGCGAAGTGAAAGTCACATATTCTGTCCAAAGGGAGGGACAATAGTGGCTCAGACACCAGGTAGGCTTGCAGCCCCAGTGCTGTCAGATCTTCTATTTTTTCAACGAAAACTTGAAATGGAATTTCTCTAACTGCAAAATATGTCACCTTTTAAATATTTACTTCAAAAGTTTTAAAGCCTTGATCATGGCAAATAACTAGAACACCAGTATCCTTGTGGGCCACATTTGACCACCAGATACATGTTATGACCTTGATTCATAAAGTTAGTTATGTATTTTCCCCAGGGAAAAATTTCTATGACAAAGTTTCAGTTTTGATTGAGAAGGCAGCAACCAAAGGAGACATGTCACTTCACATCAGAGAGTCAAGCACACCCCTTAGAAGTACAAGAGGAGACAAGCAGATGAAGCTCCCAGTCTCGAAGGTTTTCCAAGGTGGCAGCCATTCGGAAGGTAGACGTGCTCAGGGAAAGACACACCAGACATCCCGTGCACCCTGAGATGCTGTCCTGTAACTGCATGTCTGAAATCCTCCTGGCAGAGTCCAGCCACCAAAGCTGCAGCAAATGCTAAGCTACGGGTGTCCAAGTCCCAGAGACAGCCCAGAGCAGGGACTGGCTTTGGGATGACACAGAAATGCCCACCATGATGCTCTTCAGAAAGGCCAGAAACCAGTGACCCTGTCCAAATGCCTCCACTCCTGTGTGTGGAAAATTTTAAGATGTGGTAAGTGGCTAAGGCTCAGTGTGTGGGGCCAGAGGGACCTGGCTTGGCTCTTGTTCTGTCACATCCTTGCCATGTTACCTGGAACAAACTGATTGCTCAGTTTCCGCATCTGTATGGAAGTAGTAAAAGAAATGACACCTAGCAACGTTGTGAGGATTAGCTCGGCTGAGAATGGAAAGCCTATCTGGCACAGTGCCCAGCACAAGGGAAAGACCACATATAGGGTGAACAATCACGTGGTTTGTCTGGGAGTGGGGGTTCCAAGACATGGAACTTACAGTTTTACAACCAGCAAAGTCCCAGGCAAACTGGGACAAGTTGGTCACCTTGGCTTAACATTTCCAGCAATTATTCTTTTTAAGACAAATTGTGCAGATCTGAGTGCCTAGTGCAGACAAGGCACTGGGTAAATAATTGCTGAATGTTACATGACAGAGGCCCTTGTGCCTCTCCAAACTTGTCTCCTGTCCCTTTCTGCTTGCACTGCTCCAGCCACACATCCCCTTTAGTTCCTTGAAGAATCTTATCATCAAAACATGGCTCCGCATTTGTGTTTACTTCCAACTGGTATACTGCCGAGGTCTCAGATGATGGCTGCTTCTTTTCTATCAGGTCTTAGCTCAAATGTCACCTTCTTGGAGAAGCAGTCCCTGGTTGCATGGTCTAAAGAAGGCCCAACCCCTCTCATGGAACACTGCTTTATTTTATTTATATTTGCAATCATCTCAGGGATTTCTTTGTTCATTTGAAAATGCTCTGTCTGTCTCCCTCCAGTGGAAGGTGAGCTCCAGAGAACAAATCTCTTTCTCTTCCATTGCTTTATCCACAGCACCTTGGGTAGGGCCAACATATAGCAGGTCTCCATTAAAGTGTGTTGAGCAAATGGCCAGCAACTAGCCTTCCAAATGTTTCCAAAAATTTTTCCTTCCCAAATCACTGTGGGGCAGGAAGTGGGAAGTATCCAAAAACCAACAGCTCTCAGTGGACATTGGTTTTTTTCAAGAGGGGAGCTTTTGATGAATTGTGGCCATTTACTACATGGTTACCTCATTCCTATTAAGCTTACATTTTCTTTTTAATGGCTTAGAAACATTAATTTCTGAAGACAATAGTTGGCTGTCTCCTTTCTTTACAGTAAGCTAGGAATCTAAACTGTGCAATGATTACTTTGTCATTAAATTCAGAAGATTAAAAACCTTTAATTGGGGTTGGACTTGGTTTCAAAACTTCCAGCCAAAATTATTGACATCTGAATTATCTGAGGGTATCCTCTCCTGGAACTTAGAGATGCTGTCATGGAAACATTGCATTTTATTTAGACTCTGGAGGCCAACCTAGACCAGCAGTGCCTTGGGCCTCTTTTCTTAGAAACATCAACTAAGACTTTTATAAACCTGGGAGGGCACATCTGAAAGGGGAAGAGAATGTCTACTCCCAACCCCCCAAATTAAAAAAAGCATTTGTCATCTCCCTGTGAGGACACCCCAGTCTCCTCAAATCTGGATTCAAGGCCCTGGAAAACAGAATTCTCAGATGGATTCTCAAAACACTCCTAGATGAGTGTAAATAGAATGGTGTTCCTTTCCGGCTCATTCAGGTTTTCAGACTTCATTCCAATTTTAGAATCACCAAAATATTGGCATAGCTGTTTCACTGTAGGATTTCAGACGAAATATAAAAATGTATTTGAATATTTCTTTTTGAATATAGTAAATTTATCATGTCCCCAAAGTAGTAACCTTTGGGAATTTTGTTTCCAATGTGGTCTAGAGAATAGGTTTGGGGTCCGGGCATAGCAATACATTAAAAAAGGGGAAAAAAAGTTAAATGTAGTAAAAATCAATATTTTCCCTGTTGAAATATGTAGGATAAACCAATTATTATGGAAATAGAAATACCATAAAGTGTTTATAGCCATTGCTGTCTGTTTGTGTGTGTGTGATATGAGTAACATTACAGAATAGTAATTCCCTATCAGAAGCATATCAATGGTAACAGATAGAAACTGCTATGGACTGATTTATGTCCCCTTGCCCCTCCTACTAGTATGTTGAAGTCCTAATCCCCAACATGATTGTGTTGAAGTAAGCAAGTAACTAAGGTGAAATTAAGTCATAGGGTGGGGCCCTGATCTGATAGGATTAGTTAGTGTCCTTGTAAGAAGAGACACCAGAGAGCGTCCTCTCTCTCTCTCTCTCTCTCTCTCTCTCTGCCATGTGAGAACACAGCAAGAAGGTGGCCACCTACAAGTCAGGAAGAGAGCCCTCACCAGGAACTGAGCCCTGCTGGTACCTTAATCTTGGCTTTTCCAGCTGCCAGAACTGTGAGAAATAAATTTCTGTTGTTTAAGCTGCCCATTTTGTTACAGCAGCCCATATTGACTAATACAGCAACTAACATTTATTGATCCCTCTGTACTAGAAATGTTCTACATGTATTGATCCCTCTAAGTATGACAACCCTATGAAGCTCCATTGTACAGATGAGGAAGCGGAGGCACTGGGAGATTTGGTAATTTGAGTCACACAGCTAAAAACATGGCTGTGCTGGGATTTGAACCCAGATGTTTGAGTCCACAATTCAAGCACTTAGCCACTTCTCTGTGTTGCCAAAACTAGTAGAAGAATATTTGATGATACTTTTGTGGAGGTGTATTTTTAAGTTAAAAGGGGTGCAAGTTATAAAATAGGGTGTTGTGCATGATTTCATTTTTAAAAGACACATATAGTTATAAAAATTCCATAGCTATGTTTCTTTAGAACAAAAGAAATATATTCTTAGTGAACTATGTGACACCCCTGTCTTTCACTAACCTATTCAAGAAGTAGCTCCTACTATGCGCCAGGCACTATATGACATGACAGAAAAATAGAGGAGGCTCCTCACACCCCAGATGTTCCAGGCAGCAGTGGGAAGGGGCAGGGGAGACAAATGAATTATGACAGGTTGTGACAAGTGCCATGAAGTCAAAAACAAGAGGTAGTGATGAGAGATAGGGAAGGGCTCTTTGAGTAGGTGACATTTATGGCAAGATGTGAGGGTTAAGAAGGATTTTTCCATGTGGAAGAGAGGAAAGAGCATGTGTGAAAGCCTTTTCTTTGATAAGAAACAGCTGAGGAACTCCAGGGTGTTCATGCTTGTGTCCACAGAGCCTGGCACCGTGCCTGGGACATAGCAGGTGCTTCATTGAGAGATGTTAAATGAGTGGGTTGTGGCTGAAAATTGCATTGAAAAGGAGGCTGGAAAGAAGCTAAGAACACGTCCGCTGAACCCACCACCAAACTGAGCTCAAGATCACTTACTTGGTAGCTGGAGTCCTTCCCATTCATTTCTTCCGAGTGGGTGCTCCCTCCACTCCCTTTCACTGACTACAATGACAAACAGACAATGGCCTTTCAGCTACCACAAGCACAGCAACATGGACACTGCAAGAAAGTTCTGAAACAGACGACCTCAGTCATTCATTAGTGAGATTCAGGATCAAGGCAAATGGAAGACCAACGGCAAATGTATTACTGATGAGGGACATAGATTTCCACGTGATCTGCAACCAGAGTCTGATTAAACTCAGGTGGTGTCCTCCAAAAGTAGCAGCAACAACAACAAAATCCTAAACTCTGGGATTAGATAATTCTTGGATAAATAGACGATGATGGAAATACTAATGTTGGAACCAGGAGGTGGTTGAACATTTTGCATGAATAAATAATTGAACAATTGAACCATTGCTAGCCTTCCATTACTAGCTTAACATTTAGGCCGTGGGTGTTTTGTTGTATTTAGAGATATGAGTTACACTGAGCATTCCGTTTTCCATCTTTTATCACCCTCTATAGTTAGTGGCATTTGTGGCAGGGCTGGATGGAGCTGAATTCAGAGCTTTGGCTCCTTAAACTCCATTCTCTAAGCTAACCACTGTTCTGCAAACGGGATTCCAGGACCAGCAACTTCAGCATCACCTGGAAGCTTGTTAGAAACATAAATTCTTGAGACCCACTCCAGATCCACTGAATCAGAAACTCTGGGAGGTGGGGCTCAGCAGTCTGTTTTAACAGGCCCTCCAGGTGGTTCTGAGCTGTACACAAGTTTGTGCATAACTGTTCTAAGATAACTGGCCATAGATGAATGCAGACCATACTGGAGACTGTGGTCTCAGCTGTGCATTTAGTAATACCCCCTACTTGATGCTTGATAAAATACTCAAGAAATCTGATAATGAATTGCTCAGTTCTTTATCAACATTACTAATTTAGGTCTAATGTCTCAATATTAGGTCATTCTTATCATGTCCTCCTCACAGATATAAAAGAAGAGCAGGCAATGGGGGCTAAGCAATGTGGGGCACAAAGGAAGACTCTAGGTTCCACTGTTATTACCTTGGCTGTTCTCTTAGCTGGTGGCAAACATTCACAATACATGCACTAAGAACAGTTCAAAACATTGAAGGAACTCAAATACGTTTTGACTGATTGATACTATGTGTCTCTGTTATATATGTGTCTCTGTTAATATATGGTGCTCATATTATTAGAGATAACAAAAATTATTATTTATGTTCACAATACATGCACTAAGAACAGTTCAAAACATTGAAGGAACTCAAATACGTTTTGACTGATTGATACTATGTGTCTCTGTTATCTATGTGTCTCTGTTAATATATGGTGCTCATATTATTAGAGATAACAAAAATTATTATTTATGAAGGCTAACTTTTTTAGTAGAGTGCTTACTAAGTGCCAGACACCAGGCTAAATGAGATACTTACTTGCATTATTTCATTTATTCATCACATCAGAACCTTAAGATAGAGGAATAAATAGTTTCACAATTTTACAGGCAAGAAAATGGAAATTCAGACACACTGGCATGGGTCGTGGAACTAGCAGGTTAGAGAGGCAGGACTGACAGCGGGCAGTAACTCCATATTTCATACTCTAAGTGACCTCCCCACACAGCCCCCTAGAGGGTAGGAGGTACCACTCTAGCAACAAAAGTTTATTGAGCACCTACTACATAGTTGCCTAATGTTAGATTAGGCAAAATGATAAGGGCTTGAATAAGATGGAGGTTAATAAACCTCAATTAGTGATGCTTGTGGGATATGCCCATCCTCGGGGGTCATCCGTGCTCTTTGTTAAATATTGCTTGGTGCTGCTGTCCAATTCAGAAGACTTGACTAGGACTATCAATGGTTTAACACTGTATGGGAATTTCTATGTCCTTTTCTACCCCCAAAGCAACATTTACAGAGCTTGACATAGGGTAGAACCTTGACATGTGCTTCCCGGTTGGTTAGGAACAGAATCAGTGGTGTCTGGAAGTTCCGTGTACTTTTCTTAGGGATATCATTGGCTTTCACCAAGGTTTTCAGTCCAGAGGCTGATAAGGATTGGTCTGTCCTTTACGTAAAGATTAGCTTGTCCTCTAGATAAAGTTTAGATCCATTGACACGGAAAGTGGTTTTCCTTCCTCTGGGTCTTCTGCATTGTTCACCAGGGCCAGTTGCTTGAGAGGGTTTAGAAAAAGAAACTGACTCTCTTGGTCAGTCTCCCTCCCCGTGACCGGCTCCATCAGCCTTCCCATCACACCCGAAGGTTCTGACACTGGGATTCCATTCAGCCTCCAGCACTCCTTCCTTCCTGCCTTCCTTACTCCCTCCATCCTTCACTTGCTTCCCTCCTTTTTTCTTCTTTCTTTTCTCTTTTCAGAGCTCTCTTTCAAATCAAGATAATCCATGTTGGGCTTTGTATCTGAAGGACCATAACCACAGATGCTTATTTTTACCAGCTTTCAAAAATAGCAAAGTTACTATTTAAAGAGAGTAAAATTCTTTCAGAGATGATTTAATACTGTGAAGAGCAGTTTGAAGACTAAGTAGTTTCAGAGATTTTCCAGCATGATACTGAGCAACTTTCTTTACAGAGTTTATTTTTATTCATGAGAGTCAAAGGTGAAGCACTCAGCCTGCAGTTTTGAGATGGAATCTAGCTGTGGCCTCCAAGCCTTGCATATTAATGAAGTCATATTTTCTTTCTTTCATTGTGTCATGCATTCCTATAGCTTCATACCCTGAGGATGTCTGAACCATCTCCAATATATATCACTTAGATATTCAGCAGAAATGTTTGGTGGTCAGTTCACATTTCTTTGAAAGACATGTAAATGTATTTTGATGGCAATCTAATTCAACCAAAGTTGAGATTTAAAAGAAGAATTGGGATGAAATTTTAATATAGTGTGAATATATCAGCAATGTTCTTTATTAGATCAGCCTCATTACAATACACCCAAGGAACTAGATCTACTGGGAATTTCCAGAATCAACAAAGGTTATGAGTCCAAGCTATGTGTTTTACCAAGATGCTCACTTGAAATGGAACCAGACAACTCAGACAGAAATACCCAGCCAAGGTGAATTTCATTTTAGTGACAAATACATTCAGAAAAACAATGGCCAAGCCTTATGTAAACCATGTGTTAATTTTTCTCTCTTTTGCCCTGTTGTAATTCTAGTGCAACAGCCCAGCACATAAAAATAATGTTTCCGTGGAAAACATTACTAAAATGGAGCTTCAGGTGATCCTACCTCCACATACCCTCAAAGATAACCAGCTGCCAAAATCGCAGGAAGCAGCAACCACGGGCAAAAGTATGAGCTTTAGCATCAACAAAAACGACAAAACAAAAACTTGAATTTGAATTCCGAATCTGCTGTTTACCAGCTCTGGGACCCTGGGCAAATTGCTAAAGCGCTCCCGAGTCCTCGGTGCCCTCACCCCCACGGTGCGGCGGTGAGAGGGTCTGTTTCACAGGGCTCTGTGACAATAAATGAGGTAGTGCATGCGGTGCGCTTAGCACGGTGGCTGCCACGTCACGAGCACACGGTAAATAAGCGGTGGCTATTGCTGTTCTTGTTACAATAACCAAGAAGTGCCAGATGACTACAGGGCAGGAAGGAATGCAAGTCACTGGTTTAGACAGGCACTGCCCAAATAAGTGCTTCTTTCAGAAACCCTTTTTAAAACAGCACATCGGTCTTCATATTTTAATACTCAGGGAAAAACTTGAGATCAAGAACTTTGGCTAGAAGATTCCTGATTTGTGTTTCACAATTACCATTATGAACCACTCTCTTTTTTTTCCCAAATAGCAAATTCCAACAGGTTTTAGTGGATTTACTAGACTGAATGTAATCAACAAAACAAAACAAAATCTTCATGGCTGTCTACTCATTTGGGCCTTTAATTTGCCCACTATTAAAACTCACAGTGTTTCTCTAAGCCTGAGAACAGTTTTTTAACAAAGGTTTTCTTGTAAAACTAATGGTTCAAAGAAAATGACATGAGGAGGATTAAATGAAACAATGTATGTGAAAAGAGTCTGGAGGAGGAAAGCACTTTTTAAGTATGAGGTGTTACAAATATTGACAAATTATAAATCTGTATCTATGTATTTCTATCTACCACCTTTATGGTTTCATATGCCAACCTGGTTTGTTCATACATGAATACAGTACCCTACCCACTCACTTTATAAAAATGTACTAGCACCTCAAATATTCAATTTCTTGACATACAGCCAAATTAATATGTATAAGAATATTTGTCTATTTAGGGCATGACAGATGTCTTAGATATTCCTTGCAATTATTTTGAAATCCTATAGGAGCCCATAGGATTTTTGTGAAGTGGTACAACTACATGTACTAAATGAAATGTTAGAACTTATGTGACTCTTTTTTTCTTTTTTCTGAAATATAGTTATTTGAAAAATTATATTCTTTCTGTTTTCATTTTTACAAGAGGTTAATTTCTGGAAAGAAACAGATTTCTTTAGAAACGAATTGGGCAATGTATTTATTTTTAAAAATACTCAACTGATAGTTACTTTGCCATGGAATACTAAAATCTGTTATGTAAAAGAAACTTGAGAGGCAAAGAATAGTTTTAATACTCAGGGAAAAACTTGAGATCAAGAACTTTGGCTAGAAGATTCCTGATTTGTGTTTCACAATTACCATTATGAACCACTCTCTTTTTTTTCCCAAATAGCAAATTCCAACAGGTTTTAGTGGATTTACTAGACTGAATGTAATCAACAAAACAAAACAAAATCTTCATGGCTGTCTACTCATTTGGGCCTTTAATTTGCCCACTATTAAAACTCACAGTGTTTCTCTAAGCCTGAGAACAGTTTTTTAACAAAGGTTTTCTTGTAAAACTAATGGTTCAAAGAAAATGACATGAGGAGGATTAAATGAAACAATGTATGTGAAAAGAGTCTGGAGGAGGAAAGCACTTTTTAAGTATGAGGTGTTACAAATATTGACAAATTATAAATCTGTATCTATGTATTTCTATCTACCACCTTTATGGTTTCATATGCCAACCTGGTTTGTGCATACATGAATACAGTACCCTACCCACTCACTTTATAAAAATGTACTAGCACCTCAAATATTCAATTTCTTGACATACAGCCAAATTAATATGTATAAGAATATTTGTCTATTTAGGGCATGACAGATGTCTTAGATATTCCTTGCAATTATTTTGAAATCCTATAGGAGCCCATAGGATTTTTGTGAAGTGGTACAACTACATGTACTAAATGAAATGTTAGAACTTATTGTGACTCTTTTTTTCTTTTTTCTGAAATATAGTTATTTGAAAAATTATATTCTTTCTGTTTTCATTTTTACAAGAGGTTAATTTCTGGAAAGAAACAGATTTCTTTAGAAACGAATTGGGCAATGTATTTATTTTTAAAAATACTCAACTGATAGTTACTTTGCCATGGAATACTAACATCTGTTATGTAAAAGAAACTTGAGAGGCAAAGAATAGTTTTAATACTCAGGGAAAAACTTGAGATCAAGAACTTTGGCTAGAAGATTCCTGATTTGTGTTTCACAATTACCATTATGAACCACTCTCTTTTTTTTCCCAAATAGCACACCACCGGGCCGGCCCGTGTCAACAATTTCTAACAGAATTATTTCTAATATGTCTAAACGTTTACTGGCAAGGTTTGTTTTGCTTTGCTTTGTTTTGTTGTGTGGACTAGAAAGATTCCTTTACAAGATGAGCCTGTGAAATTAGAGAGTTGCTTTCTCAGAGGATTAAACTCCCAAATACTCCTGAAAATAAAGGCACACTATAATGAAATTCTTGTTTTTCATTAAAAGAGAATTTAACCAATGGCCTTCACATGGGTTTTTGTTTTTTGTCCTCCAACTAATTTAGGTTTTGTTGCGTTATATTATTTAAGTTCCTGGCTGTTTGATATTTGATGTGCAACTTTCTTCATAGACTCCAAAAGATGTCTGTCCACATTCTTTCCATTCTATACCAATTAAAAGCATGTAAATTCACCAGCTAAGATATATATATATATTCACTATTAATATAGTATGTTGTCATTTTCTTATTTGAATTGTCTGCAAGTCAGCTGTGTCAAATTTGTGTCATTCAGGTCACCTTCAGAATTTTTGCCACATCAATACATAAGTTGGACTATCTAGTATGTAATCCTTAAAAGATGCTTTATGTTCTTTATGTAAATAAATATATTTCCAAAGGAACCTTCATATCATTACCAAAGTAAGAAAAGCAATATCATTTGCCACCAACAGAAGGAAACTTTAAAAATAAATAAAATTAGAAGTAAACAATAATAATAATAATAATAACAATAACTCCTCAGTGGACACTGTTGTCTGCCAAAACTTGGGACACAAGGTCAGCTCTTTCTTTGTTAAAAAGGGAGTTAGCAGGAGTTAAAGAAGAATTAAAAAATATTAGCAATTAACCTTGACTTTCTATGATTAAGTTATAAGGGTGAAAGGATATTTTCTCATGGCAAAATTCATATTTCATATATATCACCTATAATTATATCTCATAACACCTGTGGGTACTTTACTCGCAGAAGCCAATTTAGCTATTGCACTTTCTCTGTGCTGGAAGCAAGGGGCTTACCATTTGTCTGAGAAACACCAGCAGGGAGGTTCTCGGTGCTTTGCTTTCTTCTCTTTTGGGCTTTACTTCTGCAGGCTCAGGTGCAGCATCTTCTTCTTCATTGAGATCCACTGTTTGTAAAGTTGATTCTACTTCCTTGGGCTTTATAATCTCTACTGGTGATTCACACACCACCTGGATTATTTTGCCAGGCAATGAGAAAGTGAAAAAAAAAAAAAAAACATTCCCCCAAAATGCGTTTTATAAAGTGGAGTCCTGGTTGCACCCCTGTCCACAAAGTAGCTACAGGTTTGCATCTGTAACCATTTCTACACAGGCACATCTTCAAGAACTAACAGTCAAGTTGTATAATGCGCTCTCAAACAGCCAGTTTCTGAACTGCCAAATAGACTGACACGGAAGTGGTAAAATTCCTTTCCCATGGAGGTGTGAGGCATAGATAGAAGGTCCCTTTTGGGGACAGCCTTTCAGAGCATGCCCAATGTCCCTTCCATTCTAGAAGCCCCCCTCTTTGGTCTATTACAAAGGTGAATTACACCTGGCCTGTGTAGAAACCAGAAATAATCATTTCCTTATGCGTCCAGATTTAAGAGACAGTGACCTTGACGCCTTCTGTTTCAAAGCTAGTTCCCCTGCAACTGTAGAGAAAGTGTCTCTTTGCAGGAAGAAGAGTATAAAAGCCACTCAATATAGTCCTCTCACCTCCCTCATCAACTCATTCCCACCTCACCCCAGACCAGTCCTTTGTCTTTGCTACTTAACTGAAGTTTACACTTTCAGAAGAAAAATGAACTTGGCAAGAAAACTATGGCTAAGTTGTTTATGGCCCCCAGCATGGTACCTACTGAGCTCAGAACCCCCTGAGTGTCTGTGGGCAAAAAGGACAGCCAGGAATGGGGGCCTAGTGGAGGGTCCCATTCACCCACGCTCAGATTCCCACTTCTGTTCTTTTGCAGCACCTCACTCTGTTTGTGCGGGGGGGCCCCAGTCACAGCAGGGACAGTTTCTGCATTTGCATTTCCTCTGCAATGGGGACAGAGTTAATTGGCCAGGAGAGGGTTTTGCAATTTCTTTTGTTTGCTCAGGCAGGGGTTGGCAAACTACTACCAAATCCAGCCCAGTGCCTGTTTTTGTATGTCCACCTAAGCTAAGAATGGGATTTGCATTTTTAAACGGTGTAAGAAAATTTTTAAAAGATGAAAAATATGGGACAGAGACCAAAAATGGCCTACAAAGCCTCAGATATTTACTGTTTGGCCCTGGACGCCACAAGTTTCCCATCCCCTGCCTCTGAGGACTGCACATTAGAGCCAAAGGCATTTGTCTTTGCTAGTGCCAGACCCCCAGTTTCCTGAGTCTTTTTCTTGATGTCAGAGGCAGGAGAAGGGGACTCAGATTTTTCCGAAAATACAGTATGCTTTTGGAGAAACCATTTTCCTTTCCTTCATATGGAATATGCCATTAATTTGCAAATAACCCAAATTTTCCAAATCAAAAAGAACCCTTAATTTCTGTATTGTCAATTGGCACAGGTGTCCATCAACAAATCAGCATGCAGAACACCCAGAGATATGGCAATTAAATCACAGCAGTCTATCCCACCTACATTTCTTAAGATAGTGACATGATTTCTAGTATTTTCCCTCTGGAAACAAATGTCTAAGCTGGGGAGTTATAAACTCTAAAGTCCCCAGGGGGTACTATCAGCATAGACTGACCAGATATGAGACAGAAAGGAGTGGTGGGGACTGTGGTAAACTAATGTCAAATTGTCCCATCTAAAGACATTACAAGAATAAAAACACTGGATTGGCCAAATGAAACATGTTTGTGACTAAGCTTCTGCTGCTGGGCTGCTAGTTTTTAATGGGGGTCAGTCTTTAGGAAACCAGGCTGTGACTGAAGCCGAATGAGAGACTGGGATTGGCAGTTGAACACAGACATGAATTTCTACATCTAGGCCCCAACTGCATTTCTGAGAAGCAAGCATCAGCCTCAAGAGTCTTTGGGGTAAGCCTGAAATGTAGGCAGTCTGACGTCATGGTCATAGAGCAATGCCTGCGTCTAAATCTTTACCCCTGTGCGTACTCTAATTTACAGCCAGTACTCAACATCTCTGTGCTTTTGTTTTCTCTGTTCTCGATGGGGCCCATATACACATCAGAAAGTCTTATTCTGAGGATTAAATTAGGCAATACATGTAAAATTCTTAGAACTATGCCTGACACATAATAAGCATTCAGTTAATACTAGTGGTTGTTATTTGTGTTAATATTAGAGCTATTTAGTCCATATGCATGAATTATAAGTATTCACCCACCACACCACACACATGCCTATTATTTAGAGATGATTCTATTCATAACCACCTCTTACTATGCCTGGTATTATGAAAGGTATTTTTTATATATAATCTCAGGAAATGGTTAGAAAGGCAGCTCAGGAAAGATAATATTATCCCCATTCTACAAATGAAGAATCTGAATGTTTGAATGTCTTGGCCAAAGTCACACCACAGATAAGTAGCCATTGCAATGAGGATGGCATTGTTTTGCCTGTTACTCAATAACTAATAGTGGCTTATCCAACAAGACATGGAACAAGCTTAAAAGCAGGAAGTTCTGGGGTTGGTTTAGTGGCTCCACAATATCTCTAAGAACCTTGGCTCTTTCTATCTTTGGCTTTCCATTCTTGGAATGCTGGATTTTCATCCTTTTGTTACCTCATGGTCATAAAATAGCTGCCACAGTTCCAGGCCTTACATCCTCAACCAAATGTCCTGAGATAAAATGGTCAGAGCAAAATATTTGCTTCAAATGAACTTCTGTATTTTGATCTCCTACCTCAGTGTACATAAATTTTGTTGGTCAGAACTAGATCACATCTTTACTCCTAGGCTATTTATTGGTGAAGAAAACAGGATTACTGATTTAGACTAATCGTGCTCAAATACTCTGGGGTTATAGTAGGTACCATCCTTGTCTAAGATCAGGGTAGAAGGGTGGAAGAATGAAAAATGGCCCTTAAGTAGGTAAGGAACAGAGTTTGACTTGTGGACCCTGGCTGCAGAACTATTCTGTCTTTGAAGTAGTGAGTTCTTTTTTTGTGTGCAAGGGCCTGGAGGGAAAATTACTCACATAATAAAATAATCAGATTGTATGGCAATAACCTTGTAAATTAACTTTATCTGAATGCCAATGGTTCCCTTACTGGACCTTTTCAAATGTTGAGAGGTGTCAACTCAAAAATCTGAGGCCACACTTTTCCAAAACTTAGCTAGTTCAGTAGGCAAAAAATGGGACTTCTAGAGACTTCCATTAGCTTTGAAGTCAGGCCAAAAAGTTTGTTTTCAGTAGCCAGGGAAAATCTGCTGACATCCAATGTAGAAATCCAGGACAATATGGACTAAGTAAGGATCTGATTTGCATATACAGACATAAGAATTCAATTTTTATTTGAATAGTTTTCTGATTTCCTTCCAGGCCAGGACTTTGGAAAAAGTCACTTCCTATTTAGAACATATGACTGCATCTGCACATTTAAATTTTGAGTATGATGGACATAATTAAAATCAGATTTGTGCTGTATTTTAGAATGAAAGCACTCTTGCTTGATTTTAGTGGGGGATATGATGTACATTGCATGAAGACAGCTGGTACATTTAATAGAGACAATACACATTTCAGTAAAGGGCTTCACTTTACTGCCTCAAATTTTGTGCCATACTTACTTTTGAAATTTGCTTTCTACAGTTTTTGCTAGAGCTGGG